GTGCATGTCTTGGTGTTAAAGTCTGTTGTCTGTGTAACTGCAGTGGAGACATAGGGGTGCATGTCTTGATGGTAAAGTCTGTTGTCTGTGTTACTGCAGTGGAGACATAGGGGTGCATGTCTTGGTGTTATAGTGTGTTGTCTGTGTTACTGCAGTGGAGACATAGGGATGCATGTCTAGATGGTAAAGTCTGTTGTCTGAGTTACTGCAGTGGAGACATAGGGGTGCATGTCTTGGTGTTATAGTGTGTTGTCTGTGTTACTGCAATGGAGACATAGGGGTGCATGTCTTGGTGTTATAGTCTGTTGTCTGGGTTACTGCAGTGGAGACATAGAGGTGCATGTCTTGGTGTTAAAGTCTGTTGTCTGAGTTACTGCAGTGGAGACATAGGGGTGCATGTCTTTGTGTAAAAGTCTGTTGTCTGAGTTACTGCAGTGGACACATAGGGATGCATGTCTTGGTGTTATAGTGTGTTGTCTGTGTTACTGCAGTGGAGACATAGGGGTGCATGTCTTGGTGTTATATAGTCTGTTGTCTGGGTTACTGCAGTGGAGACATAGGGGTGCATGTCTTTGTGTAAAAGTCTGTTGTCTGAGTTACTGCAGTGGAGACATAGGGGTGCCTGTCTTGGTGTTAAAGTCTGTTGTCTGTGTTACTGCAGTGAAAACATAGGGGTGCCTGTCTTGGTGTTATAGGCTGTTGTGGCCTGTGTGGCTAGAGTAGACACCTATAATTTGACGTACTATTATACGTGTGTTTTTTGGTTATGTTGTATTTACCCAACTGTCAAAGTGGGTGGCTTGAGTGAATGGTGAATTACGTGGCCGTCAGAAATAACAGTGTGAATTGTTGAAAATATTAACTCAAATAATCTGAGACATAATGAATTCCCTTTGCTGGTTGGCTGCAATAGAAGATGCTTAGATGCATATATGTATATTGTCAAAGTATGCTTCAAGTAAAATATGAAAAAGTATTATATTACTTACAATGCCTTCGACACCTGAAAAATAGAATAAAAGAGGAGATAATAAAACCTGCAATATTTAAATAAAGTAATGATGTGTTATCAGTAACAAGGGGACACGGTTAGCTCAGTCGTCGTAGACGCTACAGTTTGTTGTGCAGAATATTCGGGTGCATAAGTAGTGTCCCTCGGGCATTGGCGAAAACCTAGGATCGTATAATCCCATATCGCCCTGACTATGTGTCTAGCTTTGTCAGCACCATAACCATGTCCATGGGTGTCACTTAAGTAGTGTCCCTTGGGCATGGTGAAAACCTAGGATCGTATAATCCCATATCGCCCTAACTATGTGTCTAGCTTTGTCAGCACCATAACCATGTCCATGGGTGTCACTTAAGTAGTGTCCCTTGGGCATGGTGAAAACCTAGGATCGTATAATCCCATATCGCCCTGACTATGTGTCTAGCTTTGTCAGCACCGTAACCATGTCCGTGGGTGTCACTTCAGTAGTGTCCCTCAGGTATGGCGAAAACCTAGGATCGTATAATCCCATATCGCCCTGACTATGTGTCTAGCTTTGTCAGCACCGTAACCATGTCCGTGGGTGTCACTTCAGTAGTGTCCCTCAGGTATGGCGAAAACCTAGGATCGTATAATCCCATATCGCCCTGACTATGTGTCTAGCTTTGTCAGCACCATAACCATGTCCGTGGGTGTCACTTCAGTAGTGTCCCTCAGGTATGGCGAAAACCTAGGATCGTATAATCCCATATCGCCCTGACTATGTGTCTAGGTTTGTCAGCACCATAACCATGTCCATGGGTGTCACTTAAGTAGTGTCCCTTGGGCATGGCGAAAACCTAGGATCCTATAATCCCATATCGCCCTGACTATGTGTCTAGGTTTGTCAGCACAATAACCATGTCCATGGGTGTCACTTAAGTAGTGTCCCTTGGGCATGGCGAAAACTTAGGATCCTATAATCCCATATCGCCCTGACTCTGTGTCTAGGTCAGCACCATGACCAAGTCTGTGGGTGTCACAAAGTAGTAAACGTCCATGACCTGCATCACTTTACCGGCTTTACTCTCACATCAAGCTTACACGCCGTGATATAACTGAACTACTATAAATGAAACTTACTCACCACCTCTTCAGCAACACTACCAACAATCATTTAGAGAAGATACTACCGCATGTTTTAAAGAACAAGTCTTCGTGAGAATAACCTTTTCATAAGCTGCGTAAACAATTTGCCAGGTGTTCTTCTACATCCAGCACTGCAAATAGATTTAGTTATTAACACATAAGGTACCTGTTTGACATTTCCTCGTATACACCATTCCCTTCGGGTTACCCCACACAAATACGTATTCACATTTGCCAGTAAAACCATGTCATGTGTTGAAACGAAATTGCCATCAATGAACGATCGGATACAATTGCCATTATTGATAAGGATGGTAACATGTTCAATTTAGAATAACATGCGTGTATTCCTAAAACTAAATCTTGTAGATTCTTGTACAACATTATACCCGTGGAAAATATGTCAAAGTAACGCTGAACAAACTGATGCTTTTGAACTGATCAAAAAGTAGATGATGCAGTAGTCTCAGGCTAGCATCCGACCCACACAAAGTAAACTCACCTCTTCCAGCAACATATTGTCGAAAAGATAAAGACCGCAACAGGTAACATCCACACCCAGTGCATACTGCGGTTAATGTGTCCCTCGCCTGCAACAAACAAACACAATATGACTAATCAGTCTGTCTTATGAGTCCCTCGCCTGTAACAAACACACACAATATGACTAATTAGTCTGTCTAATGAGTCCCTCACCTGTAACAAACAAACACAATATGACTAATTAGTCTGTCTAATGAGTCCCTCACCTGTAACAAACAAACACAATATGACTAATTAGTCTGTCTAATGAGTCCCTCACCTGTAACAAACAAACACAATATGACTAATTAGTCTGTCTAATGTGCCCCTCGCCTGTAACAAACAAACACAATATGACTAATTAGTCTGTCTTATGTGCCCCTCACCTGTAACAAACAAACACAATATGATTAATTAGTCTGTCTAATGTGCCCCTCACCTGTAACAAACAAACACAATATGATTAATTAGTCTGTCTAATGTGCCCCTCACCTGTAACAAACAAACACAATATGATTAATTAGTCTGTCTAATGTGCCCCTCGCCTGTAACAAACAAACACAATATGACTAATTAGTCTGTCTAATGTGCCCCTCACCTGTAACAAACAGACACAATATAACTAATTAGTCTGTCTTATGTGTCCCTCACCTGTAACAAACACAACACAATATGACTAATTAGTCTGGCTAATGTGCCCCTCACCTGTAACAAACAAACACAATATGACTAATTAGTCTGTCTAATGTGCCCCTCACCTGTAACAAACACAACACAATATGACTAATTAGTCTGTCTAATGTGCCCCTCACCTGTAACAAACAGACACAATATAACTAATTAGTCTGTCTAATGTGCCCCTCACCTGTAACAAACAGACACAATATAACTAATTAGTCTGTGTAATGCGCCCATCGCCTGCAACAAACAAACACAGTATGTAGAGTTTATTGTCTATCTGCAGTTTGTCATGTTTCCAAACAGAATAGTTGTCTTCTTCCCTCGCTTCCTCCATAACAGCTTGAGGGTTTGTCAAAGACGTCTCACTGCATCTGTATAATCATGGGAGATCCTGATGTTATGACTTTTCAGTTTCTTTATTTGGCTCATGCTAGTGGCTTCCTGTTTTGGAGTACTAAACATAGCTAGAATGTGCCTTGTTCCACTTGATTTTTTTAGTGGTCAATTGACTCTATGTTAAAAAAAATAGAAATATTATTTCTTCCTGTATTTCCATGTTATCAACAATCACACCAAGCAGTTTATTTTCTGTCTCTTCTGTTAACTCTCTAAATGTCTCCTCGACGATATATACAATGACATTGTTCTTTCTCTGCTGGCTATCCAGCATGTCCACTTTATGAGTTCAGTCAGTAAGTTGGTCCCGAAAGTCACCATTTTCATCAGTTAGAATCTGTACCTCTTTCTCTACTTGAGTTACAGAGCTCATTTCCTCGAAATTAGTTGACATGTCCCTCCCTATCCTTGTATTTCAGCTATTACTTCTTTCAAGCTCAGTTTTCGTGAGCTGTCCAATGTAGTTTGTCTTAAAGTTCGTCCTGAGCCAGGGCCTGGGTTGCTCTCAGTATCATTTCTCAATATAATAAGCAATGAGACGCACACTAAGAGTATTGTTCTCAGTGCCAGGCTTGAGCCTTGAGGCTGTGCAACATGGTGACACGCATAACTTACCGTCGTCTTGCTCTGCCACGCATAAATGCTAAAACGTTGCCAGGTAACATCCAAAATGTCCTCCATATGTCTCCAAATCACAGCCCGTTTACTTCTTAATTTCCACGGTGACTTGTGAGGTTTTGTTGGTTGTTTTAACAGCTCCAATCTGACAAGGTGGCTTTCAATGGCTTACAATCAACACATGAAGTATTCGACACATACTGTTAATTACTACGTTGAAATTCAAATGTTCTCTTGTCCAACTGAACAAGTATTATTCATTTTATTTATTTTTATGACAGTATCGGTTTATAAGTTTGTCATTAGTGTAACAAAAACACCCCACTTGTACAGTCGGTGCAATTTGTATACTGTAACATTTCTCATTCAATGGAAGCTGACATATTTTACCTAGGGTGTCACTATTGAAGCGCATTTAAGTGAGGAGTTCACATATTACATCCCGTAAAAATTAATAATCTATTGACATAAAAACCAAATAAAAGTTTGGTTGGATTTATGTCAAAAATGATGTACATTTCATCTAATATCAAAATAGTCGTATGAAACTAGGAGCTGCAAATCCCCTGTATACCACCTTTTCAACATCTATAATAAGTTCTTATGTTCTGACTCAACGCTTACACATAACTTATCAAGATCTATTAATGGAACTGTATCAGCGTACCTGTTGACTGTATCTGTGATCCTGTTGTTATGTTACAGAAATATCCACTGTATCCATCTATACATCCGATGGTACATCCCCCGTTGCCTTGGTTGCAGGTGGTGCTGATGCAGTTCTGACTACAAAGTTGATCACAGTGGTCACCATGCCGACCGCGAACACACCCTTCTGAACACTTCCCAGTATCTTTGTGACAGGGTTGAAGGCTTCTCCCTTGATGAAGTCCACAGTGATCTGAACATAGTCGGTCACAGTTGTGTCCATACTTGCCCCACTCGCACACTGGGGCATCCTCCACTGCAGAAACTAAAAACAGAAGTTCATTTGAAGTTAATGTGGACAATGGTTGGATTAAACTCTCAAGAGAGAAGATTGACTTCTCTTGAATGAAGTTTAAAACTCATAAACATAATACCTTCGAACAGGGATCTTATTAGTGTGCATATTTCTCACGTAGAAAGTCCTGCAAAATACTAATAAAAACAACTTAAGGAAATGTCATCTATTAACCATTATTTGTAAGTTCGTCCCATATGAAAAAATTGCAAATTTTAGTATACATTGTTTATTTATATACTTATCCTCTCTCATAATTTGCATTTCTTCCTTCTTCTTCGATCCTGTGTGGAAACGTGCTTGAACTATGCTTCCAGCTTCTGACATAAAAAAGTTCACCCGAACGTCCCTTCATCGCTCTGGTTACGTCCAGAAACTAGGTCAATTGCGTACTTCCCTGCTGGAATTGACCAGGTGTACACCTCTACCAATCCATTCTCTTTCGCAGAGCTATAAGCCTAGAGCAAATGAGATCCGGTGATGGTCGGGTGAGATAGGATAAGTATATAAATATACAATTTATACTGAAAATTCCAAACTTTTAAACTTATCCTATCTCATACTTTGCATTTGATCTCACGGTTGGATGGTCGGCTGTAGACACCCTAACCTGTATATACTACAACCGTGAGATATACACGAGGAAGCTTGATCTAGAAAGTGTAATATGGATTTTGTGTTACAATTTTGGAAAACAGTGTCTCTCTCACACTCACACACACACACACACACACACACACACACACACACACACACACACACACACACACACGCCCTATGATGGCTGAAAGGGTGCAGTTACTGTGGAGAGAAGCAACCGCACAAGTCAATGGCCAACATGGATCCCTTAAGTTTCCTGGTTGAAGGCAGGTGATGCAAATATTCGGCGATCTGTGAGCCGAGGCCGAGGTAGGAGTGGAAATATCACAAGAGCTAAAACAAGTCTTAAAGGCTGTCCACTTGTGGTCGTAAAGGCGCCGGTTGGAAGAACGATGGGCAGCAGTGATGGTCTTCGCTACCCCTTGGAGAAACCTTTTGTGATGAGAGACTTCTGCAGATGCCCCAAACGCAGAGATGTAGCGTTGGAAGGGATAGATGGAGCCACTGAGAGTGACGTTGAAGAAGTAGGTCGTTGCGGAGCGGAAGATGATGAAATCATTCTTCAGCGAGCCTAAGCAAGGTTGGGAACCTATTTCAAGTAGGCCAATAGAGTGCGCGACCAAAATCAGAGACAGGCGATTGGTGGCTGCTATTTCCTGCAAGACCGGGGGATGGCGTACTCAATGACACCTTCCCACAAAATTGTCGACGCATCGTGCTCCCAAGCCAGAGGATCGGGGATGGGAGATATGAATTGGTATAGCTGAGTGTTGAACCAGGTGGCAAAGGGGTCTACTTCCAGAGCCCGAAAAAGTTGGCAAATTCATTGGAACAATGTTGGATGAAGAGACAGTGATGTCGGTGATGTTTTGTTGGGTCGGGACAGGGAGTCTGCTATGACGTTGGATATCCCTGGGCATAGATGTTGAAGTGGTCAATGAGACTAAAGAACTCTAGAGCGAGTGAGAGTAGGGACATCGACTTCATGGACCCAATCTGTTGATGTAGCACACAACGCCATGTTGTCAACTGGACCATGAGGGAGGAGGAGCGGAGAAGGTTCGACCAATGCAAGATATGCCTTGAATTCGAGATTGTTGATATGGAGTCAACCTTCTACGTCAGATCACCGCCCTGCACCGTGTGCTCCCCATCCGATGGTTAAAGCATCGATGAACAGATGAAGGGACAGGACAAATGGCTTCAAAGAGACCCCTCCACAAACTCTCGACGCGACCAGCCACCATTGAAGATGAGGGCTGAGATGGAGTGTTAAAGAGATGGGCGTGTGACAATCGTTGATCCTAATTAAGTGCGCACGAAAACATTGAAGTGGTCAATTAGAATGTTGGGAGGCCCAGGAGTTGTTGCCACTGGCATAGTCAAAGAGGGTGTTTGTAGTTGAGTCGTTGAATCTTCACCTGCCAGTCGAGCAGGATGAACATCATACTTTCCTGAGTGTCGAACAGGGCCCCATTTGCATTGAGACGTTGGGTGGGAATGAATTTCGACTTTTGAATGCAGATTAACAAGTCGAGTTGTCTGAGAAGAAGAAGCATGAAGTTGAGTTGTTGATGGAGGAAATCGGCATTTGTGTGAACTTGAATGCAGTCGTCGAGGTAGGCATCGAACACGATACCGAGCAGATGTAGGAACTTTGTGATGGGACAGGTAAGGTGAGTAAAGAGCCAAGGGGCCGAGTCAAACGGAGGCACCTTCCATTGGTAGATGCAGCCTTGAAAAACGAACTGAGGTCGCAAACGAGTGACAGTGCTCCCGTTAGGAACATTCAGATAAGCATCTTGGAGATCGAGACAGACCATAAAATTGCCGGGATGAATGAGTGTGCGAAGGAGCATGATCCATTTTGTGTGAGATGTAGCATTGAAGATCTTCATGTTGAAAATGAGTGGGAGTTTTAGACTATGGTTTTTGAGGACAAGGAATATGGGGAAATAAAACCTGGGGGTCGTGGCAAGTGTGCCGAGATATTGGATACAGTTTTTGCTTGTAACGTACCTACAGCGTTGATCCACGTTGCTAATTGCCTGGCCGGATACGTTCTCTTTAGAGGTTGGAACATCATAGGTGGAGCCGCGTTCAGCGGTAGTCGATAACCTTGTTGCACTAGCTGTGTCACAAAGGGGTCTGCAAGAATGGTCCAATTGCTTACAAATAGCCCCAGTATTTCGCCTACGAACGTTTCTGTAACGTGAACGGTCCCAGTCGCGTCCATTGGGTCCAAAAGGGATTGGGCCAGGATCAGAGAAGTTCATGATGATCATGCAGGGCAGGAAGAAATTGGGGATAGCTCCGATCTTTCTTTTCCTGATCTTCCAATTGGAGTCAGAGTGGTGGGAGAGGAGGTCCAGGATCTGTGTGAGTAAATCCTGTATAAGGAGATCACTCCACGAATATAGGCATCTTCTTGGGAATGAGAGAGAGACCGAGAGCATGTCCCCAGCTTACAAAATCGTAGACACTAGAAGGAGTGTATGGTGAACTGTGGTATCCAAGTGTGTAAGGTCCTGATCTTCAACCTCGTAAGATGATGTCCAGTCCTTCTTAGACGGATATCACATTAGATATGGCTTTCACGAGGGGGTCACACGATGGTTTCGTACTTTTTTGGTGATCCTGGTGATCCCAATTTGTGGGAAGGATAGGTGGGCTAGGGTCCTGAGGACCGACCAAGAGGGAATACGATCCCCCGATCTGTGAATGGAACAAGATCAGCTTCGGGAATGGCTCTGATGTTTGCGTTCTCTATGTGTTAACGAACAACAATCCTTAGATTTAGGAGTAGGTCAAGGGTTGTCGTCACACAAAAGACGGTAGTCGGGAAACCTTGAGTAAGGGTATCTTAGTCGCTGGTTTTGGAGTGGGCATTCGTTATCAGTTGGAGATCGAGAGTGGTGACACGGGAACACGGATCGTGGGAGCGGGAATGCCAATCTTGGGAGTGGGAGGGCCGACCCTTCTTCTAGAAGGCGATCGTCGATCCGAAGCGTGACGATCAAAAGCGTCCCGGGATATCAGGATCAGCCAGAGGAGTGGAACAAGCGAAATCCAAGTGCGGTACTTTGAATGGAGCGGAGCGACCGGTGGGTTGAACGAGAGCGTGATCAGGATCAGTCAGTTTATACCCTGCGGACATCAACCTAATTTGGAGTGTTCAACAGGTCGAGATTCGACAATTATCCGTGTGAGGAGTGAGGGTCCGATGTAGATTAAGTATGTTGGCATTCTTTAGAAATAGGTCCTTGTCTGTACTTTTTGCCCATAATTATAGGCCATAGAATATTTGACAAAATGTGGCGAAGGACAAACAAATTTCTCTTAAAGTCAAAACACGTCACCACACAGTAGCGATGAGAAAGAAAATGAATTGGCAGAGGTGTACACATCGTCAGTTCAAGCAGTCTTGCCGTGCATGGGAAACAAGCAAATTGACCTAGCTTATGGACGTAACCATAGAGATGCAGGGGTTTTCGGGTGAATGTTTTTATTTCAGAAGCTGGAAACATGGTTCAAACAAGTTTCCACATTAGATCGAATAATCTCATATACAGGAAAAAGTTAATCTTGTTCTCAGTTGTTCAAAGAAATTTACGTTCATATAACAAGAAGTAAGGAAACTTGAAATTATGGGATGTATTTAGACGTACATACCTTAACCATTAAGCTATACCATGGATGCATTGTGAATGTTAACATTTGGTACTCCCGAATGCAAGGTTTTGTGCAATCAAACGTTTATTGTGTTGATAGTATTTACAGAGTTGGTTATTGTAAAAAGAATTGTGATATCTGCGATATATCACGATTAAGTTATGAAAGTCTGTTGTGCTTTTCTAAAACAAGATTCTTAAATGTATACATGTCATTTAAGGATTGTTTGTTTTGGAGATGTTTTGCCATGTCAGGAATTTATATATATATACTGATTTACCAAATTAGTCTGAGATAAAAAACTTGAGAGATAAAAGACGTATTATACAAAAATACTAATATCAGGATCTGTGTATCGAACTGTATCTGTGCACCTGTTGTTTGTATCTGTGTACCTGTTGTTTTGTTTTGTGTTTTAACCTCATAAATATAATCACATGTATATGTGCAACAAACAGTGAAAAGGAATCGATTAAGTGAGCATATTTCTCGTGTAGAAAGTACTGCAAAAGTCTCAAAAAGACAGAATAATAATCTCATATTCAGATAAAAAGATAGAAAAGGTAGGATAAAATACTAATATCAAGATCTGTGTATCGAACTGTAGCTGTGCACCTGTTGTTTGTATCTGTGTACCTATTGTTGTGTTACAGAAGTATCCACTGTATCCTTCTATACACCCGAGGGTACATCCCCCGTTGGGTTGATTGCACGTGGTCTTGTTGCAGTTCGGGCTACAAAGTTGATCACAGAGGTCACCATGTCGACCACGAACACACCCTTCTGAACACTTCCCAGTATCTTTCTGACAGTGTCGAAGGTTTCTGCCAGGATGAAGTCTACAGTGATCTGAACATATTCGGTCGCAGTTGTGTCCATACTTGCCCCACTCGCACACTGGGACACCATGTACTGCATAAACTGAAAACAGAAAAAAAATGAGATACATAGTGATGATATCTGTTAGTAGTCAGTCATCTAAGGGGTTAAGACACTAGCGTGTGTATTCCAGATTCGCACTGATCATGTGTCCAGGTTAGACATCACCATATCCTTCTCGTGGGTTTCACCTCAGTAGTAAACGCCGAAGACCTGCTTCGCATAGGAATTTCCTCCCACGTTAAGATGACAAGTCGTTCAAAACGGTGTCACTCACTCACATTCAAGATCATACGACTATGAGTATGAACTTAGGTCCACCGTTCAAGACATACATATGACAGGTCAACCTCAGTCTAGTTATACATAACAAGGTCACAATACATACATACATATATATGACATGAAAAAGTTCACCCGAACGTCCCTTCATCGCTCTGGTTACGTCCAGATAGGTCAATTGCGTGCTTCCCTGCTGGAATTGAGCAGGTGTACACCTCTACCAATCCATTCTCCTTCGCAGAGCTATAAGCCTAGAGCACATGAGATCCGGTGATGGTCGGGTGGGACTATGGCGTGTGAGATAGGATAAGTATATAAATATACAATTTATACTGAAAATTCCAAACTTTTAAACTTATCCTATCTCATACTTTGCATTTGATCTCACGGTTGGATGGTCGGCTGTAGACACCCTAACCTGTATATACTACAACCGTGAGATATACACGAGGAAGCTTGATCTAGAAAGTGTAATATGGATTTTGTATTACAATTTTGAAAAACAGTGTCACACACACACACACACACACACACACACACACACACACACACACACACACACACACACACACGCCCTATAATGGCTGAAAGGGTGCAGTTACTGTGGAGAGAAGCAACCGCACGAGTCGATGGCCAACATGGATCCCTTAAGTTTCCTGGTTGAAGGCAGGTGATGCAAATATTCAGTGATCTGTGAGCCGAGGCCGAGGTAGGAGTGGAAATATCACAAGCGCCAAAACAAGTCTTAAAGGCTGTCCACTTGTGGTCGTAAAGGCGCCGGTTGGAAGAACGATGGGCAGCAGTGATGGTCTTCGCTACCCCTTGGAATAACCTTTTGTGGTGAGAGACTTCTGCAGATGCCCCAAACGCAGAGATGTAGCGTTGGAAGGGATAGATGGAGCCACTGAGAGTGACGTTCAAGGAGTAGGTCGTTGCGGAGCGGAAGATGATGAAATCATTCTTCAGCGAGCCTAAGCAAGGTTGGGAACCTATTTCAAGTAGGCCAATAGAGTGCGCGACCAAAATCAGTGACAGGCGATTGGTGGCTGCTAACTCCTGCAGGACCGGGGGATGGCGTACTCAATGAGACCTTCCCACAAAATTGTCGACGCATCGTGCTCCCAAGCCAGAGGATAGTGGATGGGAGATATGAATTAGTATAGCTGAGTGTTGAAGCAGGTGGCAAAGAGGTCTACTTCCAGAGCCCGAAAAAGTTGGCAAATTCATTGGAACAATGTTGGATGAAGAGACAGTGATGTCGGTGATGTTTTGTTGGGTCGGGACAGGGAGTCTGCTATGACGTTGGATATCCCTGGACATGGATGTTGAGGGAGTCAATGAGACTAAAGAACTCTAGAGCGAGTGAGAGTAGGGACATCGACTTCATGGACCCAATCTGTTGATGTAGCACACAACGCCATGTTGTCAACTAGACCATGAGGGAGGAGGAGCGGAGAAGGTTCGACCAATGCAAGATATGCCTTGAATTCGAGATTGTTGATGTGGAGTCAACCTTCTACGTCAGATCACCGCCCTGCACCGTGTGCTCCCCATCCGATGGTTAAAGCATCGATGAACAGATGATGGGACAGGACAAATGGCCTCAAAGAGACCCCTCCACAAACTCTCGACGCGACCAGCCACCATTGAAGATGAGGGCTACGATGGAGTGTTAAAGAGATGGGCGTGTGACAATCGTTGATCCTAATTAAGTGCGCAAGAAAACATTGAAGTGGTCAATTAGAATGTTGGGAGGCCCAGGAGTTGTTGCCACTGGCATAGTCAAAGAGGGTGTTTGTCGTTGAGTCGTTGAATCTTCATCCCCCAGTCGAGCAGGATGAACATCATACTTTCCTGAGTGTCAAACAGGGCCCCATTTGCATTGAGATGTTGGGTGGGAATGAATTTCGACTTTTGAATGCAGATTAACAAGTCGAGTTGTCTGAGAAGACGAAGCATGAAGTTGAGTTGTTGATGGAGGAAATCGGCATTTGTGTGAACTTGAATGCAGTCGTTGAGGTAGGAATCGAACACGATCCCGAGCAGATGTAGGAACTTCGTGATGGGACAGGTAAGGTGAGTAAAGAGCCAAGGGGCCGAGCCAAATGGAGGCACCTTCCATTGGTAGATGCAGCCTTAAAAAACGAACTGAGGTCGCAAACGAGTGACAGTGCTCCCGTTAGGAACGTGCAGATAAGCATCTTGGAGATCGAGACAGACCATAAAATTGCCGGGATGAAAGAGTGTGCGAAGGAGCATGATCGATTTTGTGTGAGATGTAGCGTTGAAGATCTTCATTTTGAAAATGAGTGGGAGTTTTAGACTGTGATTTTTGAGGACAAGGAATATGGGGAAATAAAACCTGGGGGTCGTGGGAAGTGTGCCGAGATATTGGATACAGTTTTTGCTTGTAATGTACCTACAGCGTTGATCCACGTTGGTAATTGCCTGGCCGGGTACGTTCTCTTTAGAGGTTGGAACATCATAGGTGGTGGCGCGTTCAGCGGTAGTCAATAACCTTGTTGCACTAGCTGTGTCACAAAGGGGTCTACAAGAATGGTCCAATTGCTTACAAATAGCCCCAGTATTTCGCCTACGGACGTTTCTGTAACGTGAACGGTCCCAGTCGCGCTGTTCTTAAAAGGAGTCCATTGGGTCCAAAAGGGATTAGTCCAGGATCAGAGAAGTTCATGATGATCATGCAGGGCAGGAAGAAATTGGGGATAGCTCCGATCTTTCTTTTCCTGATCTTCCAATTGGAGTCAGAATGGTGAGAGAGGAGGTCCAGGATCTGTGTGAATAAATCCTGTATAAGGAGATCACTCCACGAATATAGGCATCTTCTTGGGAATGAGAGAGAGACCGAGAGCATGTCCCCAGCTTACAAAATCGTAGACACTAGAAGGAGTGTATGGTGAACTGTGGTATCCAAGTGTGTTAGGTCCTGATCTTCAACCTCGTAAGATGATGTCCAGTCCTTCTGAGACGGATATCACATTAGATATGGCTTTCACGAGGGGGTCACACGATGGTTTCGTACTTTTTTGGTGATCCTGGTGATCCCAATTTGTGGGAAGGATAGGTGGACTAGGGTCCTGAGGACCGACCAAGAGGGAATACGATCCGCCGATCTGTGAATGGAACAAGATCAGCTTCGGGAATGGCTATGATGTTTGCGTTCTCTATGTGTTAACGAACAACAATCCTTAGATTTAGGAGTAGGTCAAGGGTTGTCGTCACACAAAAGACGGTAGTCGGGAAACCTTGAGTAAGGGTATCTTAGTCGCTGGTAGTAAGCACGACGATCTTGGGGTGGGCATTCGTTATCAGTTGGAGATCGAGAGTGGTGACACGGATCCTGGGAGCGGGAATGCCAATCTTGGGAGTAGGAGGGCCGATCCTTCTTCTAGAAGACGATCGTCGATCCAAAGCATGACGATCAAAAGCGTCCCGGGATATCAGGATCAGCAAGAGGAGTGGAACAAGCCAAATCCAAGTGCGGTACTTTGAATGGAGCGGAGCGACCGGTGGGTTGAACGAGAGCGTGATCAGGATCAGTCAGTTTATACCCTGCGGACATCAACCTGATTTAGAGTGTTCAACAGGTCGAGATTCGACAATCATCCGTGTGAGGAGTGAGGGTCCGATGTAGATTAAGTATGTTGGCATTCTTTAGAAATAGGACCTTGTCTGTCCTTTTTGCCCATAATTATAGGCCGTAGAATATTTGACAAAACGTGGCGAAGGACAAACAAATTTCTCTTAAAGTCAAAATACGTCACCACACAGTAGCGATGAGAAAGAAAATGAATTGGCAGAGGTGTACACATCGTCAGTTCAAGCAGTCTTGCCGTGCATGGGAAACACGCAATTGACCTAGCTTATGGACATTACCATAGAGATGCAGGGGTTTTCGGGTGAATGTTTTTATTTCAGAAGCTGGAAACATGGTTCAAGCAAGTTTCCACATTAGATCGAAGAAGAAGAAAGGAATGCGAGAAGTGTGAGATATGATAAATTTATAAATTAATAATCTCATATACAGGAAAAAGTTAATCTTGTCCTCAGTTGTTCAAAGAAATTTACGTTCATATAACAAGAAGTAAGGAAACTTGAAATTATGGGATGTATTTAGACGTACATACCTTAACCATTAAGCTATACCATGGATGCATTGTGAATGTTAACATTTGGTACTCCCAAATGCAAGGTTTTGTGCAATCAAACGTTTATTGTGTTGATAGTATTTACAGAGTTGGTTATTGTAAAAAGAATTGTATTATCTGCGATATATCACGATTAAGTTATGAAAGTCTGTTGTGCTTTTCTAAAACAAGATTCTTAAATGTATACATGTCATTTAAGGATTGTTTGTTTTGGAGATGTTTTGCCATGTCAGGAATTTATATATATATATACTGATTTACCAAATTAGTCTGAGATAAAAAACCTTGAGAGATAAAATACGTATTATACAAAAATACTAATATCAGGATCTGTTTATCGACCTGTATCTGTACACCTGTTGTTTGTATCTGTGTACCTGTTGTTTTGTTTTGTGGTTTAACCTCATAAATATAATCACATGTATCTGTGCTACAAACAGTGAAAAGGAATCGATTAAGCGAGCATATTTCTCGTGTAGAAAGTACTGCAAAAGTCTCAATGAAAACAGTTCAATGAAAGTGATCTATTAACCATCACTTGAAAGTTCATCCCAACCGAAGACAGAATAATAATCTCATATTCAGATAAAAAGATAGAAAAGGTAGGATAAAATACTAATATCAGGATATGTGTATCGAACTGTATCTGTGCACCTGTTGTTTGCATCTGTGTACCTATTGTTGTGTTACAGAAGTATCCACTGTATCCTTCTATACACCCGAGGGTACATCCCCCGTTGGGTTGATTGCACGTGGTCTTGTTGCAGTTCGGGCTACAAAGTTGATCACAGAGGTCACCATGCCGACCACGAACACACCCTTCTGAACACTTCCCAGTATCTTTCTGACAGTGTCGAAGGTTTCTGCCAGGATGAAGTCTACAGTGATCTGAACATAGTCGGTCGCAGTTGTGTCCATACTTGCCCCACTCGCACACTAGGACACCCTGTACAGCAGAAACTGAAAACAGAAAATAAATGAGACACATAGTTATAATATCTGTTAGTAGTCAGTCATCTAAGGGGTTAAGACACTAGCGTGTGTATCCCAGATTCGCACTGATCATGTGTCCAGGATAGACACCACCATATCCTTCTCGTGGGTTTCAGCTCAGCAGTAAACGCCAAAGACCTGCTTCGCATAGGAATTTCCTCCCATGTTACGATGACAAGTCGTTCAAAACGGTGTGTAACCAAAGTCACTCACTCACATTCAAGATCATATGACTATGAGTATGAACTTAGGTCCACCGTTCAAGACATACATATAAGACAGGTCAACCTCAGTCTAGTTAAACATAACAAGGTCACAATACATACATATTATATAAGACAGGATCGGCCTCAGTCTAGTTACACATAACAAGGTAACAATACAAACACACAGTCTGGATGTGTTCTCGTGTATATGCATGTATTAAGACATGGTTGAGTTATAGATTTCATATTCTGTCCATCATCAGCGATGTAATCTCGTTCTACCGAGCTATTGCTCACGGTAAAGAAATATACTTGCATCTGTATCGATACTTTGCATTGAAGGGAAAAAAATGTTGAAAGCCAAAAGTAAACTTTGTTTTCAATTTTACTGTAGCTTATGCCGTGTCATTTAAAGAAGTATATACATTTAGTTAACTTCAAGTGTAAACATAGCAATTAATATAGTGGTAGCCTTTGCACTTACGCAATATGATCAGCAACGACGATCCACGCATTTCAGCATGTAGGCAATAACTCCTGAAAAAAATAAAAAATACACGTTGTCATCCAATTGTTAAGATTACACTGAAGTTATATTTTGCTAATACAATTATTATAAATAGGTCTCAAAACATAAGTAAAAAGTGACCCGTTGAGATCCGGGTTTGTATTCATCTTCAGCAACCCCTTGCTTGGTGACGCTCATGATCACTGGATTGTCTCGCTCAGCCTCGATTATATACAGACCGTCGTCATATATCTGGAACACTTCTGAGTTAAACAACAAACAAACATAAATAGAGAAGTAGACAAGAGTTACCATTCAAGGAGTTTTTCCCCGGGTTAGCAGCATTCCCGTAATATCGCGACGTGCGATAAATAGAGGATTCATCACGAGTGTTTTTTAATATGGGAAATATCAACCGAGCGTTAGATAATCGGTATTTGCCGAGCCTTTGGCGAGGCAAATACCGATTAACGGGACGAGGTTGATATTTCCCATATTAAAAAACACGAGTGATGAATTCTATTTATCATTTTCACATTTTTGCTTCCAAATTAAGGGATAATTGCATTAAACATTAATATCAGTATCGTGCGAAGTGATACATGTTTTCCATAGCCATGTAAACCTTCGCTGAGAAAAAAAGATCCTCGGATTATTTTAAACAAAATACTTGAACAGACTTTTGCAGAATAATTGAAACTTTAATAACGGTAACAACAACGATTCTGTGTAATCTGATTATATCTCTGGTGTAACTTCACTTATGATATATAGTTTCAAATCAAACCGCTCTCTCACTTGAAGAATGTCTCGCGGCTGAGAGGTCAGAGTAGATGCATTAGTCGGTGTCACTATCACTTTCGATGACAATCCGGCGTCTTTTGACTGGGACCGGGCCGGACTGTTTCCACCAGTAATGTTGCCAGCAAACATAGTGTTGACACCACCAGAAACATTTATTATTTGAGACCGCTGATTGTGTTGTCTACTGTCGATTTGGACATTACGCGAGGGGCCGCTCTGCATGACGGGAGTTTCACCAACAAGCTGGGATGTCACAGTGTGGGATGGAGTGTTTCGTGACATGATGTTGGATATTTGCTTGTGCTGGTCAGGATTAATATGACAGTAATTGTTCACGGAATGGATGTTTTTGTGGTCAGTTATCTGCATTATTTGATTTGGCAGAAAATTATTGTCATTCAACTTTTGCACAAGGTGTTTGTGAGTCGTTTCAATGTTTGGAGACTGGCGGCATCGCACATGTTTTTCATGAGAGAGGAAAGTTTCTTTTTCCCAATACGATAGCGGATAAACCACTGATCGCCAGGTTTAGGCATACCTAAAGTGTGTGTGCCGATGTAAAAGGGATCGTCATCTCGACAGAAGTCGAGTGGACGCGTGGATGCATACAACTTATACACCTGCACAGTGCACAGGGATCAGCAACATTAGCCCACATTTTGGGCCTAACGTCGAGACAATCACGAGGATTCTACCCGGACCTATTCTTTTCTTTTCTCATGGACAGTTCGAGATATTCGTGATCGTCTCCATCAACATGCAATGTGATGTCCCCCCAACACATGTTGTAGTGATCACTGACACCTCTTAACCCGAAATGGATTGTGTTGTAGAGCCCTAGACAGTATATTATGCTCATTGGGTAACTGATTCCAATGGATCCGGGCTGCCACAGGGACTCGATCTCTTCATCACCATTCGGGTCGGCTCTCCTTTGTAAGTTGCCACGCCCTTCTTAGTTCAATTTTTCTCCTCTTTAATACTTCCCGTGATCGTGAAAATTCTAAAGATAACGTGAGTGAATAGCCATACCCCCTTCGTTTTAGTGATCTGTCGATGCTGCTCTGAAAACCCGTGAGACTGTTTGGTTCATAATTTTCCCCATTTGTTTTTCGAACACTAATGAAAAACTTGCAGAGAAGTTTGCCTAGTTCGTTTGGGGGGATTTCGTGCATTTGGCGAAATTCATTTTGGACTTTTAGAAAGTTATCGAACAGTTTCAAATCGTACAAAGTTTTCTTGGCTGTGTTTTTGTTTTGATTGTCTAGGATCACACAATCGATCATGCCGTCCTCAACAGCCACAAATCTTCCTTGGGCATCTTTCGGCTTTGTGTTCGTCGTCTGCTTCGCCGTGCTCGACGATGGCGTTTCGATGATGAAACTTTGGCCACAGGGAAGTTTTGATAATCTGCCTTCATCACAGTCAAATTCAAATTCGGTACCATCAACCTGTAACCTGTAATATCCATTTGTCAACACGGATATCACTGTAGCACTTCCCCTTTGATCTATTAAAACATTGTCTCCAACATCAAAGGTATCCATGTTGTTTGTAAACACCTACTCACGTGCACCGGCGAAAAAAGTCCCACTTCCGGTTATCTAATTTGCATATGTAATTTGCATACTTATGTCATTGGGGTATGACATACATGTTTTTGATTCATAAGCTTATGTCATGGATAAATGCTTTAGTTAAATGATAAATAGGCTTCTCCCAAATACTTACACTCGGGTGCCATATTCAAGTTCACAAAATGGCCGCCATGAGTCACACTGTGTTTCTCAATAGCCTTGCCCGTACAAAAGTAGGTTAGCGACAAACCCTGAATAATTCCTTCCTTGAAGTCCTCCACGTTGATATATTTATTATACATGTCAACGTGGATCTGTAGTGATGATTGCATGCTGCATCTCGCTCTCTGTAGTAAATGGTTTTGTAACTACGAACAATTTCAACGACACATCTGGAGTCGTGTGTTCAGAATATATACAAGTCTAATATGGCTGTAACTTTATAAGTGGACGTCGACTTACCGAAAGTCATGAACACACTGCTGTCACTGTCCCCAGCTAGTGTCCCTCCAACATATTCACCAGCAATCAACAAAACACTCATCAGCACTGTAATATCCTCTGGAAGTTAACGCGGAGTTAGCGAGGCAATACCTGTTGATCGTGCACTGAAGGTCGGGACTACACCCGAGTTGTGTCAGTGTGCTTGTATAGCTTGTGAAGCTTTTCAGGGTATGCAGTTGAATAGACTGAAGGCGGTCGAAGCATTATTCCTATGCGGGTGGTGCAGACTGTTGCATTGACGAACAGGTCCATAGTCAGAAGTCGAGTCACCGAATCAAGTGCCAAGTGTTGTCTACGGAGGCGTGTTTACCCCTGACATGCACACTGAACAAAGGACTCGCTAACACAGTACCGTTCTCAACGTGTGTTAACACCTGGTATCATTACCTTTTAACGATGATGCATAAACACATGCTCATGATATAATCGGACTCGTACAATCGACTTTGTTTTATGTAGAGACTTCCATTGGCTATGGAAACGGTTTGGTCGCTTTATTTACACATGACATCCAGTCTGAAAATTGGCTAGGGAACTGATTAACTTGGAACAGTTTTGTTGTAACTCGATCGTTGATTGTTCTTGCCTGGCGTGCTGCCTGCTCTATAACTGTTAACAGTATTGGTATTACTGCAGCGATGACTGTTGTATAACTGTATTACAGTATTGTTTGTTACTGCAGTGATGACAGATGTATAACTCAATGACAGTATTGTTGCTACTGCAGTGCTGACTGTTCTATAACTGTATTACAGTATTGCTGTTACTGCAGTGATGACCGATGTATAACTCAATGACAGTATTGTTGTTACTGCAGTGCTGACGGTTTTACAACTGTTTGAAGTATTCCTGTAACTGCAGTCCTGACTGATGTATAACTGTATGACAGTATTGCTGTTACTGCAGTGCTGACTGTTGTATAACTGTAAGACAGTATTGCTGTTACTGCAGTCCTGACTGTTGTAATACCGTGTAACAGTGTTGCTGTTACTGCAGTCCTGACTGATGTATAACTGTATGACAGTATTGTTGTTATTGCAGTGCTGACTGATGTATAACTGTATGACAGTATTGTTGTTACTGCAGTGTTGACTGTTGTATAACTGTATGACAGTTTTGCGGTTACTGGACTGCTGACTGATGTATAACTGTATGACAGTATTGCTTTCACTGCAGTGCTGACTGTTGTATAACTGTAAGACAGTATTGCTGTTACTGCAGTCCTGACTGTTGTAATACCGTGTAACAGTGTTGCTGTTACTGCAGTCCTGACTGATGTATAACTGTATGACAGTATTGTTGTTATTGCAGTGTTGACTGTTGTGTAACTGTATTACAATATTGTTTTTACTGGAGTGCTGACTGTTGTATAATTGTATGAAGTATTGCTGTTACTGGAGTGCTGATTGTTGTATTGCTCTAAAAAAACATTGCTGTTACTGCAGTGCTGACTGTTGTATAACTGTATGACAGTATTGCTGTAACTGGGGTGCTGACTGTTGTATAACTGTATGATGGTATTGCTGTTACTGGACTGCTGACTATTGTAAAACTGTATGAAGTATTTCTGTTACTGCAGTGCTGACTGATGTAAAACCGTGTAACAGTAATATTGTTACTGGAGTGCTGACTGATGTGTTACTGTATGACAGTATTGTTGTTATTGCAGTGTTGACTGTCATATAACTGTTTTACAATATTGTTGTTACAACAGTGCTGAATGTTATATAACTATATTACAGTATTGTTGTTACTGCATTGCTAACTGTTTTATAACTGTATTACAGTATCGTTGTTACTAAAGTGCTGACTGACGTATAACTGTACGATAGTATTGCTGTTACAGCAGTGCTGACTGATGTATAACTGTATGATAGTATTGTTGTTACTGGAGTGCTGACTGTTGTATAACTGTATTACAGTATTGTTGTAACTGGAGTGCTGACTGACGCATAACTGTATGGGAGTATTGCTGTTGCTGCAGTGCCGACTATTGTATAACTGTATGATAGTATTGTTGTTACCGGAGTGCTGAATGGTGTATAACTTTATGACAGTATTGTTGTTACTGCAGTGCTGACTGTTGTAATACTGTGTTACAGTGTTGCTGTTACTGCAGTGCTGACTGTTGTATAACTGTATGATAGTGTTGCTGTTACCTCAGTGCTGACTGATTGATAACTGTATGAGGTATTGCTGTTACTGGAGTGATAAATGTTGTAAAACTGTATGGTAGTTTTGTTGTTACTGCAGTCTTGACTGTTGTATAACTGTATGTCAGTATTGTTGTTACTGGAGTGCCGACTGTTGTATACCTGTATGACAGTATTGCTGTGTTACTGCAGTGCTGACTGTTGTATAACTGTATGATAATATTATTGTTACTGCAGTGCTGACTGTTGTATATTTGTATTACAATAGTGTTGTTACTGCAGCTCCGACTGTTGTATAACTGTATGACATTATTGTTGTTACTGCAGTGTTGACTGTACTGTAGCTGTATGACAGTATTGCTGTTACTGGAGTGCTGACTGTTGAATAACTGTATGACAGTATTGCTGTAACATCATTTCTGATTGTTCTACCACTGTATGAAGTATTGCTGTTACTTGAGTGCGGACTATTATAATACTGTATCACAGTATTGTTGTTACTGCAGTTCCGACTGTTGTATAACTGTATGACAGTATTGTTGTTACTGCAGTTCCGACAGTTGTATAACTGTATTACAGTATTGGGGTTACTGCAGTGTTGACTGCACTATAGCTGTATGACAGTATTGCTGTTACTGGAGTGCTGACTGTTGTATAACTGTATGACAGTATTGCTGTTACATCATTTCTGATTGTTCTACAACTGTATGAAGTATTGCTGTTACTGGAGTGCGGACTATTATAATACTGTATCACAGTATTGTTGTTACTGCAGTTCGGACTGTTCTATAACTTTAAGACAGTATTGGTGTTACTGCAGTGTTGACTTTTCTATAGCTGTAGGACAGTATTACTGCTACTGGAGTGCTGACTGTTGTATAACTGTATAACAGTATTGCTGTTACAGCATTTCTGATTGTTCTACAACTGTAAGAAAGTATTGTTGTTACTGCAGTGCTTACTGTTGTATAACTACATGACAGTATTGCTGTTTCTGCAGTGCTGACTTTTATACCGTATGACAGTACTGCTGTCACTGTAATACTGACTTTTATATACTCAAAAACAAAAGTTCCTGTGACATAAATATTTTAGTGCATTTTTCAAACAAGTAAAGTTTGGTTTTCAATATTGCAGTACATGTATGGAATCAAGTCACAAAAACGCAACTGCTACAGAAAAGCATGCATTCCATGCAAAAGTTGACTTTTATGCAAGCCCCATGCATTTCACTACCCAAGATTGGGAATACAAACATGTGCGTTAACGGGATTCCATATGCATTGTTTACCATGGTGCTGACAACAACCTCTCAGATAAACATTTCGAAATCCCACTCCTGTCCGAAAATGAGCGTTTTCGAGCCATTGGTATGCTTGAAGCAGGATCGCGTCAACGTGATGTTGCAAGCTAATTTAACATCCACAGAAACACCATTTGGTGTTTATGGCAACGTTTGTAACAGACGAATGCAGTCAGAGACTATCATTTAGACTACCTAAACACCCTATTGAACAATATGCATGAACTTAAGGTTACGACTTTTAAAGTTTTATTTCCCTCTCTCAAAGCTAAGGAGCTATAAGTCGTTCCTTAAAAGTGGCCTTTCGAAAATATTCCGATCAGCTTTGATTATCTGATCCGTTGTCAACCTGGCAATTACATACGATTATGGTCAGTATGTACGTAGAATAATATGTTTCTGATCACTCAGATAAGAAATATAACAAAGACTTGGCCCTGAAATCTTAATAAATAATAATTATTAGTTATTTAAGGTAAGCACCAGTTCGACCCATACTGTGTGTTACTTTGTTGGAATTCCAATTATTTTTGTTCAACTAAACAAGTATTATTTCATACATTCTCTCAGCAGGCGGGTTCCTTGATTGGATTCAACCTACACTACTGCCTAAAAGTTCATTCCCGCACACACGCATGGGCACCGCGTTACGCAACCCGTGTGCACCCCGTTTGTCACTCGTGTGGAACCCGTCCGCCACGCGTGTGATACCCGTGTGCAATGCGTTGAACACGGGTGTGTACACCGTTCGTCACTCGTGTACAACGCGTGACACGCTCATTACAGGAGGAACAAACTTGAAACCAAAGGAGGACCTTTGTTAAGCTGAACTTGGAGGTGGTAACAAGGAGAGAAATGTTTGAAAAATGTCAATCCACATGTTATTATATGTACTTGCTGACGTCACATTTTTAGATGTGATTTTGTTGGAGAGGTTGAGTGCTGCTGTGGCTTCTACGTGATGTTTTGCGATGGTGTTAAGGGAATACATGATCCTGGTAAATGTTATTGCTATTCAAATGCTTTTTTGTGATCTGACATAAAACGTCTGTAGTACGATTTCAGTGATCATGTTTATGAGGTTTGGCGGTGCTGGTTTTTTTGGACCCTAATTACTTTATGATGGTTGGGTCTCTTTGTCTCAGCTCCAAAGACGTAACTCTGGGAAAGGACAGCATGTTATCAATGAGAGTAGGTTATATCATGGAGGATACACTTGAGGGAGAGGGTTCTACTAATTACCATGTCACAGGAAGAGACCTGCAGGCGTGCCGCAAGGAGAGGTAAACATTGAGCTGAAGCAGTGGAAGTTTTCCCTGGTTTGTTGAATGAATTCCCAGAGCTGCTGTCACTTTATCTTCTATTTGATCTTTGATAAATCATTTTGGCATTTACAATATGTTGTAGCCATGATATAGTGGTGTTAGGGTGTTATTACATAAACCACAGGCTACGGGTTGTGAGGTACAATCTGTTTATTCCAGCGTAGTGGAAGAAGGCACTCTGTAATAATAATAAAAATAAACAATATACGTGAATTAAAATCACACGTGGTGAACCTATCATCATTATGAACTAAGTACATAAATGCGCATATATATCATCATATACAGGTTTAACACAATAATACATTACACAAGTGACTTTATATGATTACATG